TGGTCCCTGTCCTTCCTGCCTCGACCCCAGGTCGCACAGTCTTCCCCAGTCCTTCCCAAAGCCCCATAGCACTGTTTCAGCAGACAGATCACAGAGGTGACGGTGGGCCCAAAGAGCTATCTCTCACAGCCCAGGGTGGCTCAGGCTCAGCCATCCAGCTTTGTGTAAATACACTCTGTGACTTTCACACAACCACAAAATCACCTACAGATGCCTTTCTCAGAACGGACGCCCATTGGTAAGCAACGCGTGACTGGATAGTACAACGGAATGCTCTCAGGTACGGCCAGTCAGTCCCCGTTCGCTTTTATAAGACAGTTGCCTCTGTAAGTCAGGCTTGTTTGTTGACACCACGTACATGGGCTTTTCCAAGGATACAGGGATCAAGCTATTCTGCAGACATGGAGGGAGCCCCTGGGTGTATCATCCACTGTGAGAGGCACAGGCGCAGTGATGAGGCAAGTAGTCCTTCTACTCACAGACATGAGAAGTTTCAGACAATTAATGTTGAATTGCAATTTTGATGACTGACAAGAGGACCAGGAACAGAATGCAGAGTAGATAACAGCAACTGGGGGCTAGGCTTCCAGGAGAAGCGCCATCTGAGCCTGAAGGACAGGCAAGGCCTAATCTATGAGGACCAGAGGTGAGGTAGAGGGCATGGGTCATCCTTGGCAGACGGGGTGATTGTGAACTTCTGAGGGGACAAGGGGAGACTGGGGCCTCAGGTTGGGCTGCAGAAGGCCACTGGTGTAATTGTTTAGCTTCCATTGTTTTTTCTGAGTCTGGGTCTTTAAGTGTAAGGTGGGAATGGTGGAGGTGGAGGTGGGGGGTGGGGTAAATCCACGTGGCAGCCAAGCTTGGGCTGGTGCTGTCTGAGAAGGCAGTTCTGGGCACCCCTTAGGGTCTGTGCATAGGGGAGAAGGGGTGTGTTTCTCCAGCTCTGGGATGGCCCTCTGCCAGGAAGTGTTTAAGAAAAGCCCCAAGCAGGGGGCTTTTTGAGTTCTCCTTTGCCTGTTGGTCTGAAACTCCAGAAGGCAGAATCCTGGGTTTCATTCTGACTGATGAAGGTGGAGCTTAGGAGCTGCATATTTTTAGCTCAGATAGCATCTCACAGCATATTTTCCCAGGGAAACCCTTCACTTTTTGTCTTGCCGGAAGCTCTGGACTCCCCAGCCAGCTCAGCATCTGGGAATCAAGGCGGGAAGAGGCTTAGAGCACAGACTGAGAAAATCCAAGTAATTCAAACCAGATGTGGAAGCAGGGCCTGATTTGGGGGGTTTGCTCAGAAGAAAGCCAATGTGTCTTTGTGCCCTTCCCACCTTTATTTCTCTTTAGGGAACAAAGGCAGGAACCACCAGCCACCTCCCAACACAGACAGGGGCTGGAGCAAGAGAACTCAATCCTCTGAGTCCCTTAATCACTAAAAGCTCTATTGAGGATACTAACACACCAACCCCATTAATTATGTGAAAGCCTTCCTGAGGCAGTAAAAGTCACACAAAGGGTTATAAAAATTCTGAATTCTGCTTGAGCTATTGTATTATGAGTTACCCTCCTAGTAGTCTCTAATTGCATCCTTACAATTTTGATTGAAAGTGCTGAAATCCAAGAATTCAGTTTGATACATTATAGTATGGTGACTTTAATGTTATTAACCCACCTGCATCTTATTTACCAAATTATTAATGGCAGCAAATATGCCACAGCTCTGCAAAAATGCCTGCAGATGTGATTTTCACAGCAGTTTAATTTGTGGATCTAGCATGGCTCAGCAGATCTATTTATAGGGTTTTTGGTTTTTTTTTTTCACTCAGATGAAAAACAGCTTATTAAATTTAACGATGTTACTGGGAAAGAAAAAAATATTAAAAGTTCTAAATCATACTGTTAAACTGTTATAACATGTGTTATCTCCCTGAACACAAGAGTTATCTTTTACAACACAGAAAACGCATGTGGAAGGTCATGGGCCCCTAGACCTGAAAGTTGGCAAACATATCAAAGACGACTGAGTTTAATTATCACTGCATATTCTGAGCGTTCACTGATGTTTGGATGGACGAAATAAACACATGTGCAATTCATAAATGCATTTGCATTTATTCTAGATATTTCATTTTCTTGCCCCATTTTGACATTATTATGTTCATATTATCAAGATTTTTGCCTCCTCAACTTTACTGGGGTAAAATTATGAAAAAATACATATATTTATGGTGTATAATATGGTGCTCTGATGTACATATGCATTCTCAGATGATCACCAGAATCAAGTTAGTCAATACTTAACACTTCCATTATCTCACAGTTACTTTTTTGGGGGGGCGTGGTAGGGGATGGGAGAGTAACTACTATCTTCATAATCAAGTTTTTATATAAATTGCATTCAATTTGAAGAAATTTCGTTCTGAAAGGGTGTTTTAACAACTCTTAAAACAACACTTCTTGAGAAGTGAACCATACATTTTATATAGTACATTCACTGTTGCAAGATATTTTTGTTTCATACATTGTATCATATAAATATCCCTTATGGTACAATTTCACTACTTCTTAAAGCATTACATAGAACACACAGCATTTCTAGAAATATTTAAAAATTTTCATTCTGGGGTATTCTGGGAAACCTCTCTAAAGTAGTCCACAGCTCATCTGTTCTGATCTCCTTTAGTCAGGTTGACACTTTGACCTGACCTAGATGGTCAAAAAACAAGCTGGCTTGGGATTATCTGAATGCGCCTGTTCTTAGTCATCAAAACATTTTTTTAAAGATTTATTTACTTATGTATATAGAACTGGGGTACAGGCCAGAGGTACAGGGGCAGTGAGGACTCACCAGAGACATGAGTGGGGAGCAGAACAGGGTGACTGACACACTGCAGAGGGGAGCAGTAGGCATGTCAGGGAGATATGCTGTGCCATGTGGGTCACTTCCCCTGGCTGGGGGTCAGACTCATGAAGTGACTGCGACTAGCTTCGTAGTGCTGTGCTTTAATCCTTTGTGCCACCAGGAAAGGCCCCAAAACATTCTTTTTGCACTGTTCCAATTTCTTTATAGTCTATGGGAATACCATTCTCATTGTGTCTTTCACTTGCGTTTTCATTAGGAAACCTAATCTTGCTAAAATTTGTAAAAATAAACTCTTAATATTTGTGTATTATATAGACTTGGGTGTTTTTTATTTTGGGGGGAATATTCATAATAATAAGCAACAGTTCACAATAAGTCACTCTCAGTTGACATAAATTTAAAGTAAATTTTATTTTCCTCCAGGACCAAATTCCTGTTTATTTGAGGATAATGTGATTCCACTGAACTCTTTCAGTGCATCTTATACTTTCCTAAATTAAATTTAAGAATGTTAAAAGCCTTTTGTAGATAATCTATAAAGTACCTGGAAGTAGTTATAATATGCCATCTAACATACTTCATAAAATTTCTATTTTTGAAAAGCTCCATTTAAAAAAGCAAAGCCTTGGCTCTTCCTGGTGGCACAGTGGGTTAAAGCACAGCACTAAGAAGCTAAAGCCACTTCAGTATAAGTTCGATCCCCGCCCTGGAGGTGACCCACATGGCGAGGCAGACCTCTCCTGACCTGCCTCAGCAGTGTACTTCATCGGTGGCCTGTTCTGTTCTCCACTCTGTCTCTGGTGAATCCTCACACCACTCCTGTACCTCTGGCCTGTACCCCAGTTCTGTATGCATAAATAAATAAATCTTTTTTTTAAAAAAAAGCATAGCTTTTTTTCTCCCCAAAATTGACATCCTTAGAGGTACAATTGTAGCCATGTTTCCTAGCTACCAATGGCCCAACAAATGACAAACATTGTTTTATTGGACTCTGGAGATACTGTGTACTTTTGCAAATTGAATGTTTGTGGCCACTCTGTATTGAACATGCTTTCGGCACATTTTTTCCAACAGCGTGTGCTCAGTGGGTATCTCTGTGTCACCCTGAATGGGGGTGTGTATACTTTCTAACCATGATGCTATTGCAGTTAATAGTGAATAGTAGCTTTCAACATGGCTTCTAAATGTACCGTGAAACCAAATGATTTGTGAAGTTCACTTTATTACAATCCTCATTTTATCGTGGAGTCTGGACCTGAACATTGCCAACACCAAAGTATGTCCAACGTGTATTGTACGTGATGCAAAAAAAAAAAAAAAAAATGTAGGTTCAAATCCCAGCCGTTACTGAGAACCTGTATGGCAATACACATTGCACAAAACCCATGAACTTTAAGACTAGCCAACAGAAAAAGGGACAGACGGGATTAAACATGGTGCCTGCACATGACAGGTCTCATTAAATCTTAGTTCCCATCTTCCTTTCAAAACTCAGCAGACTAGGGTGTAGGGTTACACTTGGGGAGACTAAAAATCTAGAAAGGCAGGGACTCTCCCCTATACTGGCAGGGCAAGTCATTTTGTAAGATGCATTTACCCAGCGAGAGGCAAAACAAACAAAACAAACTGTTGAGTGTATCTCCTTCCATTCTCTTTCAGGTTATGACCTTAGGAGTCCAGATTTTTTTTGGGGGGGGGGGGGGGGGGTGGAGAAAGGCTGGCTAATTGCATTGCTGTTTCAAATCTCACATGATTTTTGAGAAAGATATCAGGTCCTACTTAGTCTTTAATATATGGATTGCTGAACACTTTTTTCTTCATTTTGGGTCCTAATCACCTATTCTGGGGAAATAAGACCAAAGTCCTGTTATAGAGGTAATAGATGCAGGGGAAATTGGCCCCAGAGGGAATCCCCCACCTCATCATGGAACACAGAAGAATCCTCACTGTGTGTGAGTATTCAGAACTGCAGTTTTACTGTCCAGATTCAGCACCTCCAGACTCCCACCCTCAGAACCCTAATGCCCCTGCTGTCCTAGATAACTGTCCTGGCCCCCAGACACTTCCCGGGGCATCAGCTTTAACATGACCTTCCACAGACCACTGAGAACAGGGATACGATGAGGAAAGGAGACCAGGAGGCCAGTTTCACTAGTTTGGAAGCAGTTTTAATGGAGATGGAAATGTGAATCAACTCAACATAGGTACCCCAAAATACAAAGCAAAATATGATTCATCTTCAGCTGCATAGCAAATATGGTTTAAGACTTCAACATCATGATTTGATCACAACCGTAATATAAGTCACCATAAATAAATGTAAATTCATTGTACAAAAATCCCCAACAACTCTTAATACAAATATGGTACATTTGACAGTTTCTGAAACAGAATTTTTTTTAAAACTCTTTAAAACCTAAGGTTTTGTTTGTTTGTTTGTTTTTCCTGTTCTTAAACACACAAAAGTTAAAGGGGTGAGGGGCACAGTCAGACCAGGGAGGAAAGATAGGGAACCTGTTTGGTGTTTATAAATGCTACTGGCACATCAGGGCAATGAGATGTCTCTCCTGAAGGTGAAGCCCTCAATTTACTGAGATCGAGTCTCTTGAGAGTAGTGGGATTCTACCCAGTGGGTCCGATTCAGGGTTATGGATGCAGAGTGGGAGGGGTGGGCTGGTGAAAGAGCAGTGTCATCCACTGGATGACCCAAACTCCACAAAAGCCAGTTAGGAAGATGGATTAAAGGCTGTATCTTCACAGCCAGTCACTGGTCTGTAGGAGCGAGCCAACTACTGCTCCCACATAGGACTGGAGATTCAGAAGGCCCTGGAGCTTGGAGATACTGTGAGGTTTATGAAGGCATGTGTTATCTGTTACTTCTGTCATGTCACCTCTCCCTTTACCTCTGGGAAATCAAGAGGGAAACAGGACATCAGACTAGGAAGAGACAGCTCCACAAAAGGAGAGCTGCCAGCTCCCACACGGACCCACTTTCCTTCCCAACAGTTTTCCTTTCGTGGCCCAGAGGAGCTCAGCAGCAAGGGTAGCAGTGTAGACAGCTTCCACTGCAGGGGTCCTCAGACCTCCACGTGCATCCTTCAGATACTGTGTGGAAAGTGAAGATTTCTCCACTCTACTGCCAGAAGCAGGATGAGAGGGTTTCGGGTAGGGTCCAGCAATCTCCATCACAGATGCTAATTGCAGGAAGCCTGATGTAGGTGGCCCCTGGATCATACTTGAGGAGCCACACCTCTCCTCCCTGGTGAGGGTGAGTGTATCACCCAGACCTTGTGCTATGGGCACACCTTGGCTATTTCCATGGGTTAAAATAGGTCATTTAACTCAGGGTAGCCACTCCTACTCATCTGCCCTGAGGGAGAGAATCATTGTAGTTTTGTCTCCTCTCTTCCCTGGTCTGAGAAGCAGCAGCAATGTCTTTATGCATTCTTACAAGTTCAGGATCACAGACTCCCTCTGAAGATGAGGTGGGGAATGAGGACAACTCCCCAAGGGCTCCTGTCCCTCTCAGCAGCCTCCCCTTGCTCCTTGGGAGACCCTGAGGAAGTGTCGCGCTTGGCAAATGAAGTAGATGTCTCTCAGTGAGGTCCACCCCACCTCAGGTTCTAAGCTAAGGGATGTGAAGGGAGTTGAGAGCCATAGATAAAATGTCCCCGGAAGGCTTTTAGCTTCCACAGAGTGAACTTCCAGATTCACTAAACCAGGATTCTTCTTTGCTGTCAGAAGAAAAGTGTTATTTATACTCCCTCTTGACCCTGTGATGATTTTGGCTTCTCTTCGAATAACCCCTTCATATTTCTCTCTAATGAGAGTTTTCCTTGATGCGTCTACAAAGAGGGGCTCCCTAATTTGGTGTCTGGCAGGCGCCAAGAGCAGCATATGCTTGGCCTGTTCAGTGCTGTCCCCAGTGTCCACGCCCTGAGCACTTGGTGTTCCGGATCTGCTTCAGGGATCAAGGCGCCATCCCCATCCAGCTTCCCACGTATCAGACAGCTTTCTGTTTAGGGCTCTGCAACTGCTGGCTGTGTTCATAAATACCGACCCCCTTCCCGCCCCGAGTTACTCGGGGCCAGGCGGGGAGCGCGTTCCTGAGTTCTCTCTGGGCATGCCCTGAGAGCGGTGCTAGGATGTGGTCTGGGGTGTCTACAGAAGGCTGGAGTCAACACCATCTGCCAAGGCACCTAGAACCTCACACTTCGTTTTTTGTACTATGGATCTCCATTCCTGGCCCGAGAGTACTCTTGCCAGTAGAATCCCTGGTCTCTGGAGCAGAGGAGATGCCCCGGGGAAAGAAGGGGCAGGTAGTCAGAGGTGTGAGGCCAGAAAGCACAGGCCTGCCGGTCAGGCCAGGCTGACAATTTAGGGCACCCCCACACCCTTCTCTTGACTTCTGAGACTTCAGTCCTGGGGTCACATGTGGGCACAGGGTAGGAGGTTGCCCTCTTGGGAGGAGGTTTCGGGAAGCAACTTCTGATAAGGGTAGGGCTGTGAGATGATGAGAGGGTAAAGCGAGGGCTCTTACATAGCAGAGTGAACAAAGAAAGAAAAAGCACATACTTCCCTGTTTCTTTTTTTTTTTGTTTTTTCATTTACACACTATGGAAAAACCACCATGGAGATGTCATGGAGAGCATGCACAGGCCCAGCCCTTAGGAGTGGTGTGAATGTGTTGGGGACGTTCTTGTTTGCTGTCAGGTCCATTCCACATGTTGTCCGTGGGACCATGTTGCAGGCTGGCCTTGGCTTTCTCTCTCCTGCCTTTTCTTCTGCTCCAGGTTGAAGGTCTGCAGCTGGTCTCCACCAGCTAGCAGGTGGTGGCCAGGGACTGGTGGATGGGTGGCTGGAAGCAGCGCACATGCTCCACTGTGGAACTGTCTGTCTCCACCGACTTCATGTACTTGTTCAAGATGGCAAACACCTCATTGTTCAAGATCTGGTACTTCCTGATCCTGTCTGCCATCTTCTTCAGGGGCTATAAGGGGACAGGCAGGTGCAGGTTAGGGAACAGAGAAATAAAGCATTAGCAATGGAAGAATTCAGTGAGGTTGGGGTTCAGGGTCTTGAACCATATAGACCAATGGAAAAGAGTCTAGAAATAACCCTTCCGTATGTAGGCCAAGTGATTGTCAACAAGGATACCAAGACCATTCAATATAGGAAGGGCAATCTTTTCAACAAATGGAGTTTCAAAGAATGAATTTGAATATTTTTTTGAAATTGAATTCGTATATCAAATTTTAAAAAATTAGCTCAAAATGAATTACATCGTAAGCGCTAAAGCAATAAAAAATTCTTAGAACACAGAGGAAAGACTTATGACACTGAATTTGGCAGTAATTTCTTGGATATGTCATCAAAACACAGATAATAAAAGAATACTGGATTTCATCAAAATTAAAAATTTGTCTACATCAAAGGACACATTAACATAATGAAAGGCAAACATAAAAAAATCTGTGCATCACAGATCTGATCTGGGATTAAGATCCATAATATATTAAGAATTCTTGCAATTCAATAATAAAAGCAACCAAATTAAGAAAAAAACTTGACATTTCTCCAAAGGAGCTAAACAAAGAGCCAATAAGTACATAAAAAGACACTAATGATATTGGAACTACAATAAAATCTCATGTCCTGCCTCAGAAGATGCCTATTACCCCAAAATAAAACAAAACAAGCCCAGAAAATCATAGATTCTGGGGGAATGCAGAGAAAGGGGACACTGTTGAGCGGGGCTGGTGGGGATGTTGCAGGTATATGGAAAACAGTATCACAGTTCCTCCGTAGTTAAAGAGAAAAAGGGAAGCGGCAAAATACCCCTTCTAGGTATTTATCCCAAAGAAATAGGAATGGAGACTTTTCACAGGTATCTGTACTCATGATCAAACAGCCAAAAAAGGTGGTTGTAGCTGAGAAGGCTGAATGGATAGGCGAGAGGTGGGGAAGTCATGGTGAGGTTTACACGTGTTATTCTAAGGGCCATAATCCTGTCACCAAAGTGGCTTCCATCTACGTGAGGTCCAGAGTAGAGAACAGGCCTCGTGTTGAAGGGGCAGAGTTTCCTTTGGGGAAGGCGAGAAACTCCCAGCCATGGACGGTGTGATGGCTGCATCGCTGTGAGTGTACCAAATGTAATACCATGCACTCACAAATGGATGAAATGCTAAACTGTGTTATGCAGATTCTCCCACAATGAATTCGACCCTTTATGAAGTGGTTCCTGCCTTTCTCCCCTCTCAGCTGGTCCCTGAGTTCCACCCTTGGTCTCAGCCACACGTCTTTGCACCTCTGTGCCTCTGCCTAGCTGCTTTCCTGCACCCCAGATTCTGCCGGGTTACTTGCTGCTGGTCCTTCTGGACTCAAACCAACCATCTCTCCACAGGAGCCTGCTCGGCTCCCCTGCTTCAGGCGCCCTCAGCCTGGTTTAGATGTCCCTTCATGATGTCCCACAGCTTTGTTTGACATTGTCCCACCCCGTCCCTGCACACAGGAGTCACCTCTGCATGCTGGTGCACACGGCAGGTGCATTTCAGGCTGGGAGCTGGCCCTGCCTTGTGGGGTAACCTGATTCATTTCTGGGGTTGGGAGCCAGTGAGTCAGGGCCTCATACAGAAAGCTCATCGTGGAGAGTCTGCACCCCCCTGAGGTGAGCGGCAGGACCTCCATAAGCAGCACCCCCCTTTCTGTCCCAGAGTCAGCCAGCTGGCCAGGACTGGCCTGTCTCCCAGGCCACTCACCACATTCTTGATGATTTCGTCCTTTCCATCTTGCCTCTGGACTTTGAGCAGGTGGTAGCAGAAATCAAACAGGTCAAAGCGCCGTTGCTGACCCAGCAGGACGATGATGGAGCAGCCAGCCCAGTTCAAGCCGTCTCCAAAACACTGCCTGTGAGCAGAGAGGAGGCAGTGGGTGCGGGCAGGGCAGAGTGACCTTGGTCTGGACCAGAGGTCAGGTAGTGATGGGCCCAGTCCTAGGCCTCTTGTCTTAGTCTGTTCACCAGTATGGGGCTGTTATGAGCATGGGTTCTGGGGCCTGTGGCTTTATGGAGACATTCTAGTCACAAAGATGTCAGTCTCTCACCCCATTAATGAAAGAATAGCTTTGAAGACCCCACAAGTTTGCAAGGAAAATTCAACCAGCCCTTGAGACTGACAGAGGTCACAGCTTAAGGAAACTCTGTCTTGGCTTGTAAAGGGGCCAGGGGAACCTCCTGGAACTTTAGGGCCATTTCAGTCCAGGCTATTGTGAACTTCGAAGGCAGGAATTGGGCGCAATGGCTAGGAGAGCAGAAGTGTGTGTGTGTGCGTGTGCGTGTGCGTGTGTGTGTGTGGTATATGAGAGTCCTCTTGGGTCTGGAAAAGTCAGCCTGCAGGTGTCCAGCTCCCATCAGCAATCTGGCAAATTGGGATGCTGGAGGGTCACCTCTGCTGTCCTGTCCTCCAGAAGCAGCCACCATCTACACCAGGCAGTTCCTGCTCACCATGGCTGCAGTCACTCTGAAAACAGCCTGCCCACTCTAGTCCTGGCCCCACAGCCCTGAGGGCCTGCTCACCTCTCTCTTGTACTTGTTCCTTAAGGTTCTGGGCTCCTTAGGGGCAGGCCTGATCTGCCTTCTTCACCCCCTGGGCTCTGGATATGTCACTGGTTTTGTGAAAGAGAACCAGGCTCCACTTCTGTCTTCTTTGAGGTCAGGATGGAGCCTTAGGGACCACTATTAGGCCCTGACCTCTGCCAAGGAAGCTTTCCCCTGTTCCTGGAGCCCTGGAGTGTTGTTGGGGTTCAGGTGGACAGTGAGCGTCATGATCCTGAGACCTGCCACCCCTTTCCTCAGCCCAGCCTCCATCCATTCTCAGTAGACTATGCCCGAGGACTTGAAGCCCCTTGTGCATGCTCATTTCTGCCTCTCGCAGTTCCTGGCCTTCTGGAATGTCACTGTCCCTGTCTAAGGGCAAGCACCATGCTTGTAGATCCATGTCCAAGGATCAGTTCTAGTCTGTGAACTGAATCTGGCAAGCCCTCATCTCTCCTCTCGGACACCTTCCAGCCCTGGCTGCTTGCACCCTCATTCCATGGACCACGTCTCTCCCCTAGTAGGCCAGGGACCATCTACTGCTGCTCCCCATTGCTGTCTGTCTAGCACCCAGTGTGGTGACCAGTGAGGCATACTCGGGAGACAGCAGGTCTGGGTTCTGACTGCTGCAATGAAGCAAATACAGCAGCAAGGCAAATATGACACTAAAGCAAGTCACAGGAATGCTGGGCTTCCCAGCACCTATACTAGTTATGTGAACACTATACAGTGTCATCTGTGAAACATACAAGAGCACTATCTACCTTGATTAAAAATATTGGCGGGCCCTCCCTGGTGGCAGTAGGTTAAAGCACAGCACTAAGAAGCTAAAGCCACTTCAGCATGAGTTGAATCCCTGCCTGGAGGTGACCACATGGCGTGGCAGACCTCTCCTGGCCCGCCCGCTGCTCCCCTCAGCAGTGTACCTCATCAATCTGCCTGTTCTGCTCCCCACTCTGTCTCTGGTGAATCCTCTCACCTGAGAGGATTCCTCCGGCCTGTACCCCAGTTCTGTATACATAAATAAATAAATCTTTAAAAATATATATATTGGCTAGATTATGCTACCCAGCACCTGAGCCTTCCGTATGTTGTGGCTTCGCGCAGGTGGAGGGTCATAAACACAACTGATGTCTGTGAAGTGCAAGGTGTGTGTTCTGGCTGTAGGAGCACATCAGACACTTGCTGGAGAACCCTTTTGGCCCACCTTCCTACTGAGTTCTAGGGGCCCCAGGACTTTCAAGGGGAGACAAGCAGGTCAAGGTGACCCTCCCTTCCCAGGGGAGGGACTCACTCAGCTGTGAACTCGTTGGTGCCCACGGGGATGCAGTAAACAAACTGCATAGCGCTCCAGAGCCGGTGGAATTCTACACACTCATCCACGTGCATGACGCCGTTGGTGGGCGGGGGGCCCCGCCAGATGGGGTCCTGCAGGTAACTCCGGATGCGCGTCAGAATGACCTCGAACATGGATAGCCCGCAGCACAGACGCTCCTTGGTCAGCAGGTCGCCCTCCCGGGCGATAGCGATTTGCTGGGTAGGGAAGTAGGAAAGGTTCATTGAGCACCTGGGACCCAGCAGTGCTGTAGCTGGACCACCCTGAGTCCAGGGGCACCCACGTGATACACCTGAGCGTCACAGCGGGGAGTCTGTGCGGGGGGGGGGGGGTCTGACTTGTGGTTAGTAAAATCTAGGAGCCAGTGATATAAGAAGAGTTTTATAAATGTCTACCCACTCCTTTAAGGGAATGGTAGGGAGCCACTGAAAAGACTGAGATAGTGCCACGTCTGCTGGTCTTCCTGAGGTGGCAAGACCATGGTGACTGTCAGCTCAGACTCACTGTGTGACGCCCAGTGCCCGTGCTCACTGTTCCATGCATTCGAGCAGTACTGGCACTACCTATTTGTCCCAGCAACCGGGGGAAGGTGCATATTGATCCCCACTGTACGTATGAGGAAACCGAGGGTCAGACAGGTAGTTGGTGAGTTGGCAAAGCAGGGGTTTGAATCCTGTTGGTGTGGATCTATGTTGAATTGCTAAGGAAATAGGGCAGGCTGAAAAGAAGGGCTGTGCATGCCATCCTACTAAAAACCATCAACAACACATAGTCCCGCAGGCAAACAAAACTCCGTGTGTGTGTGTGTGTGTGTGTGTGCGCGCATGCAGGACATTTTAGGGTGAACATCAGTTGTGGGAGCAGATGGGCTTGGAGAAGTGGGTGGGATCTCTGCTTTTTACTTTGCATACTTCTGCATACTTGGAGGTGTTACAAAGAGCATGCGTTATTCTTTTAAAACTTGTCACTGAGGCCTTCCCTGGTGGCGCAGCGGGTTAAAGCACAGCACTGAGAAGCTAAAGCCACTTCCGCATGAATTCATCCCCGCCTACCCCGGAGGAGACTACATGGCATGGCAGACCTCTCCTGGCCCGCCCGCTGCTCCCCTCAGCAGTGTACTTCATCGATCTGCCTGTTCTGCTCCCCGCTCT